CGGTATCTGATCGAATGCTTCATTACATTATCTGCTATGTCCTCATTCCAAAGGATTCCAACCACTCTCAGATTAATGACTTAGAGATGCAGCTTTTGTACGCAATCAAGAACCGCATAAGGGTCAATTGGATTCTGACCATCATGTATCATCTGCAGCAGCAACTTCAGTGCATCACACGGTTACCGTATGCTCGGTTGATTTCGAGAATCCTGGAATTAACTGAACTAGACCTCAACAGGGAACCGTCCTCCAAGATGAAACCTACAACTAATGAGATCAATGAGATTAACATTGTCAAAAATACTGGTATCATCAAAGCGGCTGACGATACCTACATGTATACCGATGACAGTCCTGTCCATCACGCGTATCCAATGCCTGAAGGGGGTCTTACAAGTGAGTTTCTTTATACAACCATGATGAACCAGCATCGAGAGTCAATGAATATGCATAGAGAGACCTCCCGAGCCATTGCCTCCCTCAGAAACCTTATTCTTAACCCTCCACATTCCAACACCCGAGTTGTGGACGAAGAGATTGAAGAAGAGGATGATAGTGAAGAAGAGGAAGAAGATGATGTGGATATGTCTGATGAGGATCTTTAGAGAATATGTTGTTGTTGATGTCTTTTATTGCATTGTTTTCTAGTTTTTGATGTTTTATGCTTTCATTTATGTTTGAACTCTGTTTTTACTTTGGCATTGTAACTCGTACAATATTTGCAGCGTTGCTGCCGTTTAATTTATTATGCTTTGCTTCCATATTCTTGTGATTGCTTGCATTATTGGTCTATCTAGTTTTCTTTCTTGAAAGCTCCTTCCTTTTTGCTTATGACAAAGGGGGAGAAGAGCTTTGGCTTTCTTATGTCTATGTGTGCAGAATTTTTGCCTATGTATTCGATAGGGGGAGTTCATGGACATAGGGGGAGAAAACAAGATCATTGCTAATCATCGTCAAAAATTGCACAAGATCATTTTGGTTGTCATCATCAAAAAGGGGGAGATTGTAGAAGCAAGCTTCATCTCAAAGTTTTGATGACGTCAACAATCAAGATCAAGAATATTTCATTTGTGCAAAAAGGCAAACGCTTTCAAAAGACCAAGATCAAATGGAATGGAAGTGATCAACATTCAAAGCTTCATGAACATTTGACTGATCAACTTTCAAGTTTTGGACACAAACTATGGTATATCAAAATCCATTAATTTAATTGATATACAAGTGTTCAACATCTTTATCATTTGATCACATTGCATAAGCATACTTTTTAAACTATTAGAATTGGTATAACACTATTTTTATAAGTATTTTTCTGAAAAATAGCAGTGTTAACCGATTAACCATATAGGTTAACCGGTTAACCATTTCAAATTTTGAATATTCTGGTATAACGTTCCAGTGTTAACCGATTAACCATATAGGTTAACCGATTAACACTGAACGTATTTTGAAAAATGGCTTTGTTTCAAGTTCAAAAATGGTTTGAATATTATACTAGTTCATATTTTGAATTATACTCAAATATACCTGTTGGAAAAGGTGTGTTTACACATATAAATTCTGAGTTTTTCAAATTGAAAAACATCCTCCAATAATCAATTTCAAAACAATTCTTTGAATCAAATTCACCACTTTCAAATACTTTTCAAATCTTTTCAAAAGTGTTCATATTGATCATATCTTTCATATGCATAGCATTGAACACTTGTGTTGAAATTAAATGAGTGAATTTTGATCAGAAGGAGAAGATCAATCTCAGCATTGATATTACCATTATTACTCTCAAATCAAATTATTCAGATTACTTGTATTTGGACTTGTGATCCAGGATTGTTGGACACAAGGGTGAGTGTTTACAAGAGGATTGTTCTTGTACACTTGTTGATTTTTATTGTTTGATAGTAGGCCTCACCGGTTGATGGTGTGATAGGTTGTACTTTATTAAACAATAGTGAAAACTCTCTTTCGTGTTGAAAGGGGAGTGGAGTACTCTCGGATTGTGAGGGGAACCACTATAAATCTTGGTGTCCACTTTCTTTTTACTTTTTACTGCATTAATCACCAAGAACCTAACCAGTCAAATTTCAAGAATACCGAAAAACCGGAAAAAGTCCCTAAAAGCCTAATTCACCCCCCTCTTAGGCATACTCTGTACTTACAATTGTTAGCCTCAAGTAACTCTGAAGTGAGCGACACATGCCCATCTCAAATAACAAAGGGATAAGAAACCCTAATCTTCCTGCCTTGAGTGTATACTGACGAAGCAATAACTTAGGAAGTTGATGAGAACCAAAACTCTAATCCAAAGTCTTCCTAGTTATCGCGCCTCGAAAAATCAAAATGCGGCCGTCGCGCAAAAGGCGTAAAAAAAATTGGTTCTGCAGAGTCGCCACCGAACTTTATTTATCCCAAAGGGGGAAAAGAAAATATCGAGAAAACCTTTAAGAGATAAGAACATGGTCATCGCAACCACATTCTAGGTTTGGGAGTCGGTTACGTAAGAGGAAGGCATTCGCACCCCCTACGTTCGTTGTACTCAACAAGAACCTCTTAGTTCAAATTGTGATGAATGTTAGCTAAGATTATTTATTTTCTTCTAAACGAGATGATACGAAAAGGTATGATAAAAGGGAATCAATATTAAGGAGAAATTAGTGGTTTTAGGTTAGGGTGCTCACCAAGGATTAGGGCCCCTGTGCCTAGGTATGCTCATTCAGACAAGAATGAGGAATCAGAGCACTCGTAGTTTAAATATGGAAGAGAGGTTCGGACGGAAACAACGGAAAAAGAAAAGGTAGCAAAGAAAAATATGGAAGGTAACTCACAAAGATCATCGCAATCTTGTACCTACATATCTTCATTCGGACGAGAATGAAGAATTAGAGTGTTCGTAGTTTGTGGAATTACGATTGGATTGGTGTTTTAGAGGTGACAATTGTTCACACATGAGTAAGAGAGCTCGCACCCAAACAATTGAGGAAAAAGATAGAAGACTCCATCCCCGTCCATTTCACCTTGAAAGAAATTGTGTTTGAATATTTGCTTAGTGTTTTGATGGACGATGAGTGCTTGTAAAAATGGTTTGAATGTTGTCGAGTTAGATGTCTTTTAGAGGTGTCAATTTTTCACACACGAGTAAGATAAATCGCACCCAAACAATTGAGGAAAAATATTAAAGACTAGACCCCCTCCCTTTTACCTTGAAAAGAGTTTTGATAATTGTTATGTGTTTTGACATTTGATTAGGAAAATTCACTTGATTTTGGATGAAGGGTTTGTTTGTATGCGGAGAGGTTGATTGCGAGGCGAAAGACATTCGACTTAAAAGTTTGAAAACGCCAATTAACATTGAATCAAGGGTTTGCAAAAAGGGGTGTGAATTGATCCAGTCCCTAGGGGTGCTCCTACTAACGAAACCACAACGAAATATGCAAGTATGTGCAATAGGTTGATGACGATGCTTACGAGCAATCAATTTACGAGGGTGTTTTAAAAATTGGCTCGACGATGAATCGATAATTAGTTTGAAAATGGTTTAGTGTATGCTAGTCCCTAGGATGCTCCTAGTAAACAAACAACAATCAAAGGAAAGCGAGTAAAGTGCGTACATAGAAAAGGGAGCTGGGTACATGTAAGTTACATAGGATTGCAAGAAATAAATGGGGTCATTGTCAGGTAGCCCAAGAGGAATTCGTGTGTGTGCAAGGTGTCCTAAACTAGACAATAAGCAAGAGTATGGATCCAACTCTCCTTGCAAAGGATAGTAACCAACAGTCCACCAAATGAAAGTGTTTTAGGGTTTCGATAGTTTTAACGTGTTTTTGAATAAAATGATCAGGATATGAATAAGATGATATGAATAGTATGATAATAATATGAACAAGAATATAATCGAGGATATATTGACAGAAAAATAAAGCAAGATAATACTGAACATAAATTAAAGTCATTTGTTAGTGATTAATTGCTAATGATCGGAAAAATTGATTTCAAATCGGGTTCACTATAGCGCCAAACAATCGTAGCACGATCTATGACAAAGATCATTCTATAGGAGGCCACACAATACGATGTTTGTGCTAAAACACGATGGAGAAATGAAACGTAGATCATTCTCAAGAAATCGTGTCACACGAAAAGAAAAGAGAACAATCTCGTCTTAGTTAGAAACTATCGTCGATTATTCACTACAGATTTGGAATAATGAAGGTTAACAACTTCGATAACCAACATCTATGATGTTAAAGACTTCATCAACCAAAAATAAAATCGAAATGAGAAATAAAAAAATAATAAAAAGAAATCCAAGATAAATCATATAAGTACAAATATGATCAAGAGAAATTAAAAAAAAAAACTATTAAGAAATTTAGGGAAGAACCAAAATCAATAAAAACAAAAAAAGTATAAGGAAATAGAATAGAAAGGGGGTGCTGATGAGGATAAGAGGTGTATGAAATAAACACATATGAACCTTGAGCCCACCCGAAAAAATAATGCATGACTTACAAAAGGGAGCGTGCACACCACCATAAAGCAAAACGGGTCCAAAAGCCCATACCACCACAAATCAAAAGTTTTTTCTCAAAAATATCATCGAATCCTTGCTTTTAACAAATGAAAACAAATTAGAAAAATGGTAAAAGAAGCTATCAGTGTTGAAACAAACACAAAACGCAATGAATCAACATCAAAAGTCAGTGACATCCTCGCTCAACCTTCTTTGCGTTGGCCTCGCTCTATCCGTCTCCATATCTCACGGTCTCGCTTGATTTGCTCCCTCTTCGCTCAAATTCAGGTTCGCATCGTGTATGGGTTTCATTTTGATTCAATCGCTCTCTCTTCGTCTCACTTCTTCTCCTTCACTGTAATGTTATGGATGTGAGGGTTGTGGGTTGAGGATGAAGGCTTGGTGTGGCGTGTGGGTATTGAAGGAAGATTTGCGAAGGTTGGATAAAGATGGGTGAAGAGGAATGTTTTAGGTTGTTGAAGAAGAGATGAGAGGAAGTTTTGCAGCGTTTTCTTGGCTTAATGAAGCTTGTTCCAAATGGGGTAAGGATAGTGTTATTTATAGGAGCAGTGAGGGTGAAATGGGAGGGATTTTCTTGCGCAGGATTGTGTTGCTATAGCTTTAATCCTGTGTGGTATGCGTTTCAGGTCATTTGGCAAAGTTTGGTTATTGTCATTGTGTAGAATGTGGAAGTAGGACGAATATTATGAAAGGATATGGGGTCCACTTATTGCGTAATGATTTTGTTGTTTTTTTGTGTGATAATGGATTTTGGTACGACGGTTGTGCGTGATGGCTTGGTGTAGTTCTTGGTCATGGCTTTGGAAGGTTTATTGTGAAAATCAAATTTTGAATTTGTTTTGTGAAGCTACATGTTTTATTTTTGTATGATGGTTTGTGAATTGAATGTTGTGTGGTGCATAGGGGAATTGACGCTGTGATGTCGTAATGGTTTTGAGGTAGGTCATACTTATATGTAGGTTCAACTTTGTTTATTATGTGTTGTGGAATCGTTTATGCAGGTCAGTTTATTGCAACCAATTTTCAAGATATTTACATACTGATGTATGGTTGTTTGCTGGGTGTGGAGCATCATGTGTTAATTGTTGTGCAGGATCATGCTATGGCGTGAGTTTTGGTGTGTGTATCATGAATCATGATGCAGAAATTGGTTTTACAAAGTACTGAGGGCTTATTGTATCATATAACAAGGTTGGTGGCTAGGTGAAAAAGGTTGCGTGTGTGAATTGATATGTGGTAAGGTTTATGTGATGTATCATGACGGTTTTTGCAGGATGTTATAATGGCTTGTATGGATTATGGCTAGCTTTGGTGTAAAGTCTGTGGCCTTTTGTACTGCAGGTGGCTGAAGGATATGGAGGAATTGGTTAGCATGGGAAGGGTGCTGCATTCTGTAGTAGCATCAAACAAAAGCCTGTCTCATTTTGTATCACTTGAATAATTCCCATAGTCTCTTGCTTTCCACTGACCTATCCAAACTGGATGGAAATCACCTGTTTTTTTTTATTTTGTTTCTTGTCTTTCTAATGAATGCATCTCCTCAGCATAGTAAAGAATGTTAGCAATTCTTCGAATGGAAATTTAACTCGAAAAAATAGAAAATTAACAAATAAGGGAGAATGTAATTTTGAAAAGTGAGTAAGGAAGGCAAAATTTTTATTGTACGAATATGAAAAGGGACATATGGTTTCAATTGTAGTGTATGGCTTGTGATGGGATTGTGTAAATGTACTTTATATATATTTTTTGTAATGTTTTTCTTTAACTTTATTTTATGGGCTTTTATCATAAAAGGACATGGCCTTCTTGGATTTTTGTTTAATATTGTATGGACCTTGTATTTGAATATGGTTATGAAAAAAAAAACAAAAAGGATTTGGAGAAATGGATTGAAAGTTTGAATTGGAATGAATGTGGATATAGAAATGGAAATTTAGAATAAAAATCTATAATTTGGTTCTAAAAAATGGAATTGGATCGGTTCTTTTTTTCTAAAAAAAGAATATGGAAGGGGGCGTGGAATAAACGGATAAAAAATGTGATTGACATGAATTGATTTCCCACTGACTTTTCAATAACACCTCTGGAAATTGACCTTTCAAATGAATCTTTGAACTGATGCCCAATATTATAACCATGGTCTGCCCAGTTTAAACCAATTCCATTTTGACCAAGAAATTCACTTTGAAGCACAAAACCATAGTTGAGCCCTGATGGTTCTCAATCATGAAACACCTGCTTTGTTATTGTCTAAGAACTAGATTCATCCATAACATATTTGTTGCGGTGAGAATAGGATATCAGACTATTAATTAGTTTTAATCACATCTTTAGTTCTTTGCATCGTAAACAATGCGGGGAAAATCTAGGTAAGGGGTTGGTTAAGCTTAGGGATGGTATTAGCACCCTAAACTTCTGTAGTACTCTACAGGAACCTTTTGTTTAAGTTTACTATTTTGCTTTAATTATTTGCTTGAGGTATATGATAAGGGTTAAAAGGTGAAAAGAAAGACCTAAGGGTTAGTCCTAAGTTTACTCGCCAAGACTCGTATCTTGTGCCTACGTATCCGAGGTAGGGGATCGAATCAGAGTAATTGTAGTTCCCCTCGAAAGAGAGGTTAGAAACTTCTTGACTGTGGTCAAGGTTTCAATAGGGAGTAAGCGTTCTTAAGGAAACGCTTACATGGTGTGCAGCGACTCCTATCTCTACGTTGAAAAGTTGAATTGAATTAATAGGGGTAAACTAGGTATTCCACGGCGGGAAACCTAAATCGGGGTACGACAACTCCTTAACCTAATGCTAAGGTGAAGTGTGATTTAGTCCATGGCGGGACGCCTAGGCAATTAGGGTTTTGAAATGGTCATAGGTGAGGACTATTGACGCGGCGGTCAAGCGGCTAGACCTATTCCTTCGGAGGGGAGATTACGGTAAATAATGCAAATGAATAACTGGTTACATGACAGAATTAAAATATGGGAAAGCGCGAAAATAGTAAAGAAAATGTACAACGACGAAATCCTCGCGTAATTTACAACCCAAAAATGCAAGGATAAAAACGGAATACAAGCTACGATTGCCTCGCATAAATTACATCCATGAAAAATAAATACGAAAAATAAAAGGAAACGAGCAACTGTACAACGGCATAAAATTAAACGAAGCAGAATGGGGCAAGTGTACGAACCATGTCCACAATTCGGCGACAATTTAATTCGAACCTGTCGAACCTGAAATGGAAATGCTAAACATAATTTTCTTTAATTCAAGATTTAAAAAATGGTTTTAAGTTAGTCTTTTATTTTTAAGCTTAAATTAAACTCTTTTTAAAAAAATGAAAATGGTTTTAATTTGGTTAAGAAAGATTTAAGTTTCAATGTTGATTTTTGAAAAAATAGTTTTAATTTTTAAGTTTGAAAGTATTGTCTTAACTTTAAGCTTAAGGTGGTTTTTTTTTTAAGTTTTTAGAAAATAATTTAAAAAAGATTTTTATCAAGTTTTTAAAAAAATTGGGTCTTAATTAAGTTATTAAAAGAAATTAAATTGCAAAAATTTTAAAAGAGTGTCATCTTGACACTATAATTACAGCATTAATAATTCACTAAATAAATAAAATAATAAATAAATAAATAAATAAAATAAAGTAAATAAAAAGAAAATAAAGAGAGATAAAAGGGGGAGGGAGTCGTGTTTTGCTGAAACACGTTACTGCTAGGGTTTTTTCTTCTTCTTCCTTGAGGCCTACGGCGGCCCTTGTCCTCCATGGGAGCTTGCTGCGAAATTCTTCATTTCTTGCTTGCATGGCTTCATCCAGTTCTTCTTCCACTTTCTGAAACGAAATGAGTGAAAAAAAACTAAATAAAAGAAATGAGTCATTTCTCTTCTTACCCACAACGGTGCTTGTGAACAATGGTGGCGTGGAGACGGTTGATTTCGTTTTTGTCGTCGTTCCTTGGTGGTAGTGATGATGATGAGAGATTTTTATCTCTCTGATTCCGCGGTTGTTGGCTTTTTTTCAATCTCCTCCTCCTCTGATGCTCGCCGCTGTTCTGATTCTTGTGGCCGGTTTTGCTGCCTTTGATGATTTGTTGATGATGAACTCTTGGGGTTCGTCGTGGCCGTTTTGGTTCTGGGTGATGAACTTTTAGGGTTCTTCATTGATGAACTCACTGATGAACTTTTTCTTTTCTTCTGAACTCCGGATTCCCCCCTTTTAATGATTTCTGATGATCAACTTATATAATTATTGATTTGTGGGCTTGGATCCATATTGTTACGATTTCTGATTTAAATTTTGTTGTGATGGTTTTGAGCTAGAGGAAATCGTGGAAAGATTATTGCCTGTTTTTATGATGGATTTGTTTTGATGATTTTTGCAGCAGAGAAATTCGCGGATTCACGGTTTTACTTTGCTTATTTGTTGCAAATTTGCTGGAGATTTTTGGAAGTTTGTTTGATGCAGATTTTGTGGCTTTTGGCATTTTTTTCAGGAAATAGGTTGCTTGCGTTTTGCTGTTTGATCCACTCGGACTCAGAAATTTTAGGAAAATGTGTTTATGGTCTGTTTGGAAAAGACCATTTTCAGAAATAAGTGCTTTTTCAAAAGCACTTTTTCCAAAATCACTTTTTGCGAAAATCACTTTTAAAATCACTTTTTCTTTCTCCTGGCTGGAATTAGAACAAATTCTGCCGGTCTTGTGCCGAGGTCGGAAAAATAAGTCGGGAGCTGGCGACGAAATATTCCGTTGCCCTCCCGACGTACCCGATGATGAAATCAAACTAAGGGTATCGGGACCGGAAAAAAACTTAGTTTAATTAATTGAATCATTTTCATCTGTTGAGTTGTTTTGTAGGTTTGAAGAAAAAGTCGGAAGTCGAGAATTGAAGATCAGACTCGAAGACACTTTTAGGACCTATCAAGAATTTTAGATTTTAAGGATTTATTTTGTACTTGTGATTAATCTTGTAATATTGTAATAAAAATATAGAATAAATAAAATTCTATTTTCTTATTAACTTGAATTTCTCGCAACAATCCATCCAAATAATTCTTCCGATTAAACTCAAACAAACAAATCTACTTAGTTAAATTTAATTCACCAAATAATTCATCTGACTAAAATCACTCAATTAATTCGTCTGCTTCAACTATCCAACTAAATCCACCTGATCAAGATCACCTGACTAAAATCACTCAGTTAAACTCAACCAACTAAATTCGATTAACTAAATTTATTCGATTAAGCTTCTTCAAACAAATTCGTTTGAATAATTTTTGTCAGATTAAATTTGTCTGATTAAATTCAAATGACTAATTTCTTCCGATTTAAACTCATCCAAATAAAATTTCTTCTGATTTAAACTCATCCAAATAAATCAAATTGATTAAAGTCCTCCAATGAGATTTATCCGATTAAGCTATGACGCTCCAACTCCGAACTCGTCAATTGATTCAAATCTGACGTAACTGAGTTCAAACGAACCATCTTGAAAATTAATTTGTACCCGATATTAACGGTGAATATGACCTTGAACGGATAAGTAGAGAAATTCTGTTAAACGGCAAAACAAACTGTCTTCTGTATTGAAAGTTCAAACCGCATCTCGACTACTTTAACTCGGTAACCTGAATCAGCCCAACAAACAGTCATGATCAAAACAACAGATATTCATTGTAAATTCAATGCGCATCGAAATTCCATTGTTCCTTTAAAATCGACCGTTGGCCAGTATAAAGCAGGAAAGCGTGCGTTTGTTAAAATAAATTCCTCAAA